CACTATTTCACTAGGAGGGTGGTGAAGCACTGGAATGCGTTACCTAGGGAGGTGGTGGAGTCTCCTTCCTTGGAGGTTTTTAAGGCCCGGCTTGACAAAGCCCTGGCTGGGATGATTTAGTTGGGAATTGGTCCTGCTTTGAGCAGGGGGTTGGACTAGATGACCTCTTGAGGTCCCTTCCAACCCTGATATTCTATGATTCTATGAAAATATATGGCAGAATGCGAGTAAAACAGAACAGGAGATGTAGAATTCTCCCCCAAGGAGTTCACAACAGAGAGATTGCACTACTCATACAGTGCTTGTATGAGGTGAATTGAAAAATACTATTTCTTTTATCATTTACAGTGCAAATATTTGTAATAAAAGATAATGTACACTTTGATTTCAATTACAACACAGAATACAATATATATGAAAATATAGAAAAACATCCAAAATATTCAATAAATTTCAATTGGTATTCTATTGTTTAACAGTGCGATTAAAACTGCGATTAATCACGATTCATTTTTAATCGTGATTAATTTTTTGAGTTAATCGCGTGAGTTAACTGAGATTAATCGACAGCCTTAGTGACTATCTATTCAATAAATGGATTTGCAACGCTACAGTCATGAATTGGCTGCAGTAATTCGCCATAAATAAGTTTTTGAGGGTTTTTTATTTTTTTTTGTTTAAGTCTAATAGTAGGAAAATGGAACCTTACAACACTACCCAAAAATCTTCCATAATGCTCAGAGCTCTTTGCCATCAGCTTCAGTTTTTCATTGGCAAATACTGCAGTACATATAGCCTTAGCACACAGACTAAGCAGCAGAAGCACTAATATGGAATAAAAAAGCTTAAATTCAGTGTAGCTGTGGGTGTTCAACACCTCTGAAAATTAGGCCACTTTTGGTTAGATTGGATTCAGAGGTCAAATTTTAGGCAACCAACTTTTAAATTTTGACTTAAATATATATAAACTACATTAAGCATGTATGGATATTGGTATTTCTACTGGTAGAAACTTTGATTATATCAGGATGAATAAACATGATGTTGTAAAGGCTATTAATAGACCAAAGCTAAAATGAATAAAAACTTTAACTATAATACTTTAAAAAGTGATGAATAAAATCCTTTTTTTCACTACAACTAAGAATCACATCAGAACTTCGTTCATTAAAGCAACCTGAAAAGGGCAAGTAACATTTATAAGGTCAGTTACGCAATGAGAATGATCAGAAACATATAAAGGCTTTTAAAAAAAATAACATTTTACTAATTGATATAGTAATAAAACAAATTTTATTTCTATTTCTATGTTTGTAAAAGAACGAACGTTGCTGTTCTATGGTGCACAGTATTACCTATTCTGAAATAACCGTCCTCCAAGCGTTTGTCTTTGGTTTCTTTGCTTAATATCAAGTCTTCATTCTAAAATAAAACAGACACAAAACAAAATGAAAGCACTTATTTTGCATGTATCTAATAAATTTGCAAGCTAGAGCAAAACGTGGGTGCCCATGTTCTCTATTTAGAGCACTTTCCTAAAAACTTTGAACCAGCCTACTATTTCCATGAGCAAACAGATGTTATTTATAGCATAGACTTTTCTTAAAACAAAACAAAAACAAAAAACAACCTGTTCCAGAACTGACTGTATTTGGCTTCAGGGTAGAAGAGAAAAATACCACTCATAAGAACTCATATGATGAAGCACAAGGATATTGCAGATACTGGCATACACGACAGAAAAGACACTCTGGGTAAAGCCTGCTCCACGGCTGATTTGGGGAGAGAAAGATCAAGTAACCTCTTCCCCACCCAAAGGACACTCATGAAACCATACAGCACACTTTAATCTTAAAATAGGTCTAATCTGCCTGCTGTATTCAGAAAGAAATCGGATACTTGCGGATTTCTCTTTTGAGCATCCAGGCTTATCATATTCCTATAGTTCGTTTTTGTTCTCATCTGCAGTTTGAGGAGGCAGGATCAGAAACTTATCACCCACCACATTGGGGCTGGCTGCTTTTTCTACAAACTGAGAATGCTTCCAAAGCTAAAACACAGATCAGTTTGTAACACTAGAACAATAATTAACAATCAACTTCCACTTGAGTAAGTCTATCTACAGAACAATCTGTCCTCAAACAACTTTTACTCAGGGCTGCCCAGAGGATTCAGGGGGCCTGGGGCAAAGCAATTTCGGGGACCCCTTCCATAAAAAAAAGTTACAATACTATAGAATACTATATTCTTGTGTGGGCCCCTGGGGGGCCCAGGGCAAATTGCCCCACTCTTCACCCCCGCCCCCTCCCCGGGCGGCCCTGGTAAAAATAAACATTTAAAAACCTTCCGCATCTCGGCACAAACCCAGTGTTGAGAAAACTTCTTTTCAAGTCACCTTTACAAGCTATCACTGGTTCTCAGTATCAGCTAGTGCTACAAAGCACTAAAGCTCATTAAAAGGCTTGGACAAATATTTTCCATCAAAACTTTTTTGGATTGAAAACTAGGGGTTTTTAAAAAGCAGAAAAAATCACGGACAATGTCTGCTTTCCTTCAAAATTTGTTGTGGTTTTTTTAATTGAAAAGCTGAAATTAGTCTGCCAAAACCTGAACATGGTTTGGGGTTTCAGAAGTGTGTGGCCAAATATTTGCTGCTTGCTGTGTTTGATTGTTTAAAGAAACAATAAAAAAATTCTCCTTAAAAAATATCCAAAATTTTTGAACCACCTCAGCTTGTGACCAAACGCCTGAGCCCATGCAGTCAGAGATTTTTCCAGGTTTTGATACTCTGCTGGTTTCCTTGACTCATATCAGTCTCTATAACTTTGGGTTCATTTAGGTTAGAACATAAGAATGGCCATACTGGGTCAGACCAAAGGTCCATCCAGCCCAGTATCCTGTCTACCGACAGTGGCCAATGCCAAGTGCCCCAGAGGGAATGAACCTAACAGGTAATGATCAAGTGATCTCTCTCCTGCAATCCATCTCGACTCTCTGAAAAACAGAGGCTAGGGACACCATTCCTTACCCATCCTGGCTAATAGCCATGGACTTAACCTCCGTGAATTTATCTGTTTCCTAGAGACTGGCTCCATGGGGTCCCTCACAAACTGGAGATGGTTACTGTGGGTTTGTCTTTAGTATAGCTTATGTACATACTCCACAAACTGAGCGTTTGAGCTTGTTCCAGAATTTGGGATGAGCCTACGTTGTGAAAACTGAAATGCTCAAAATAGCACATGCATGTGAATGGACACAGGGTGCTAAAATTAAATTAACCCAGGGGTTCTCAAACTGGGGGTCGGGACCCCTCAGGGGGTCACGAGGTTATTACTGGGGGTTGCGAGCTGTCGGCCTCCACCTCAAACCGCGCTTTGCCTCCAGCATTTATAATAGTGTTAAATATATAAAAAAGTGTTTTTAATTTATAGGGGGGGGGGGTTGCACTCAGAGGTTTGCTATGTGAAAGGGGTCACCAGTACAAAAGTTTGAGAACCACTGAATTAACCCCTCTGGAGCCTCGGGGAATGCAGGGGAGGGAGGTCTCCCTTGGTAGGGTTGGGAAGGAGGTAGGTGGTGTAGGATATTGCTCTTCTCATGTGATCCCTCCCCCATGGCTCTCTTGGCTCTATCACTATTAATCTAAGGTGGCTAATTTTAAATGAAGCTACCCTCCCCTGACATGAATCTCCCTATGGCACTGAAATTAAATGTAGACTATAATTTGGCATTTGAGAAGTGAAAGGGATGGTAGCCCTAAGGGAAAAGATAACAGCTTGGCTCTTTGTGTTAAATAGCTGTCTGCAAGCCTCAAACTGCTGAATGAGCTTTAGGGTAGGGAAGGCTGTGCCTCCCCAAACAGCCTGGCCCTGCCCTCTATCCAACCCCCACCCACTTTCTGCCCCACGACCCATCCTGCTCCTTGTTCCCCCCCCCCGACCTCCCCCGAAGACCTCCCCCAATCACCACTCCGGAACCCCACCCACCACGAACTCCCCCTGCTGCTCCCTGTCCCCTGACTGCCCTGACCCCTATCCACCCCCCCGCCAAGTCCTGACAGACCCCCAGAACGCCCACGATCCAACCCCCCATTCCCCGTCCCCTGACCACCCCCCAGCAGCGCTGTCCAGGGCCGCTCCTGGGTTACCCCCACCTCTCCCCTCTCTCAGAGCCTCAGCGCGCCACGTCCAGGAGCTGTCCTGGCCCCTGGATAGAGCTGCAGCGGTGTGGCTCTGGCGGGACCGGAGCTCACAGCCCCGCCCCCTTACCACATGGCTCTGACTCAGCGGGAGGAGCTCAGGCCTCACCAGAGCCACACTGCTGCAACACTGTCCAGGGCTGCTCCTGACATGGCGCACTGAGGCGCCGGGGGATGGGGGAAGATGGAGGTGGGGCCGTGGACGCCTCAGACATTCTCGCTGGGCCCAGGGCAAATTGCCCCACTTGCCCCTCCCCTCTGGGTGGCCCTGCTTTTACTTACTTCCAATTAACAGGTGGGTCAGAACGTTGTGCCCAGGTACTCAGAGAAGAACTATCAGCAGTTATCAACTTTCTCATTCTTATCCAGGCTCACCATTCCTATCATGGGAAAGCCCCAAGCAAGGGTAGGCCACAAGCAAGACTACTGAAGCAATGATACTTTAAGAGATTATTAGGTATCACAGTACTGTATGCAATACCCTCCTGCTAAGACAGCATCTGTCAAGGCCGGTGTCCAATTCCTAGCGCCTGGTGAATGCTTAATTAGGTGACTGTTGCTGCCCTACCAATGCCTTTAATTCAACACAAACAATTTACCAGTCCAGGAAGTAAACAATGTCCTTGTTTGAAGAGCTTTATCTTTCCTGTAAGCCTGCTTCATAGACTTCTTTAATGCAATACTCCAGCTATCTAGCAATTAATGCTTTAGATGCTTTTTTTGGCTCTTGTTGCTGGATGACTTTTCTATACATTTACATTCTTGCCAGCTAGATCTAAACAGCTTGGTGTATATCAAATATTTGCTGGAGCTTTGCTTTTGGATGCGTAGGGTTTGTAGAAAATGATGGGAGGACTAGCTCCTGGGATCTGTGAAATCCCTAATTTACTTTTGGTAAAAAAAATATTTGAGATGAAGAGCCATCTGATCAATGTGAAAAATACAGTACACCTCTACCCCAGTATAACGTGACCCGATATAACACAAATTTGGATATAATGTGGTAAAGCAGTGCTCCGGGGGGGCAGGGCTGCGCACTCCGGCGGATCAAAGCAAGTTCGATATAACGCGGTTTCACCTATAACACGGTAAGATTTTTTGGCTCCCAAGGACAGTGTTATATTGGGGTAGAGGTGTATTTGTAATTATTCAATACACAATGCCTCTAGAAAAGACCCTCCATGTACAAAGGGGATGGTAAGCTCTCTTTAATAAAGAGATAGAAAAATGAAACTGAAGAAAGAAATGTGAACAGTCTAGTAATTGCATCCAGGGTCAGATGATCTAAATCCAAAGGCTCTACTCTGGGGAATTCCTGGTGATTAATCAAAAATGCTTGATAGGGTTATTCAGAATTAAAGTGGCCTTAATTCAATTTAGTTTAATTCACTTTGGAAGTGAATGTGGTTTAGCTAATTCTACTTCAAATTCACACCTTTAGTTAATTTGGATTAATTTTTCTGGATATCCATATGTAGACATGTCCTCAGGTCATAGAATCATAGAAGATTAGGGTTGGAAGAGACCTCAGGAGGTCATCTAGTCCAACCCCCTGCTCAAAGCAAGACCAACTAAATCATCCCAGCCAGGGCTTTGTCAAGCCGGGCCTTAAAAACCTCTAAGGAAGGAGATTCCACCACCTCCCTAGGCAACCCATTCCAGTGCTTCACCAGCCACTTAGTGAAATAGTTTTTCCTAATATCCAACCTAGACCTCCCGCACTACAACTTGAGACCATTGCTCCTTGTTCTGTCATCTGCCATCACTGAGAACAGCCTAGCTCCATCCTCTTTGGAACCCCGTTTCAGGTAGTTGAAGGCTGCTATCAAATCCCATCTCACTCTTTTCTTCTGCAGACTAAATAAGCCCAGTTCCCTCAGCCTCTCCTCCTAAGTCTTGTGCCCCAGCCCCCTAATAATTTTCGTTGCCCTCCGCTGGACTCTCTCCAATTTGTCCAAATCCTTTCTGTAGTAGGGGGCCCAAAACTGGACACAATACTCCAGATGTGGCATCACAGTGCCAAATAGAGGGGAATAATCACTTCCCTCAATCTGCTAGCAATGTTCCTACTAATGTAGCCTAATATTCCGTTAGCCATCTTGCAACAAGGGCACACTGTTGACTCATAGCCAGCTTCTCGTCCACTGTAATCCCCAGGTCCTTTTCTGAAGAACTGCCACTTTAGCCAGTCGAGCCCCAGCCTGTAGCGGTGCATGGGATTCTTCTGTCCTAAGTGCAAGACTCTGCCCTTGTCCTTGTTGAACCTCATCAGATTTATTTTGGCCCAATCCTCCATAAGAACATAAGAATGGTCATACTGGGTCAGACCAAAGGTTCATCCAGCCTAGTATCCTGTCTGCTGACAGTGGCCAATGCCAGGTGCCCCAGAGGGAGTGAACCTAACAGGTAATGATCAAGTGTTCTCTCTCCTGCCATCCATCTCCAGCCTCTGACAAACAGAGGCTAGGGACACCATTCCTTACTCATCCTGGCTAATAGCCATTAATAGACTTAACCTCCATGAATGTATCTAGTTCTCTTTTAAACCCTGTTATAGTCCTAGCCTTAACAATCTCCTCAGGCAAGGAGTTCCACAGGTTGACTGTGCGCTGTGTGAAGAACTTCCTTTTATTTGTTTTAAACCTGCTGCCCATTAATTTCATTTTGTGGCCCCTAGTCCTTATATTATGGGAACAAGTAAATAACTTTTCCTTATTCGCTTTCTCCACACCACTCATGATTTTATATACCTCCAATCTGTCTAGGTCACTCTGGACCCTACCTCTCCCCCCAGCTTAGTGTCATCCACGAACTTGCTGAGGGTGCAATCCATCCATCATCCAGATCATTAATGAAGATGTTGAACAAAACTGGCCCCAGGACCAGTCCCTGGGGCACTCTGCTGGATACCGGCTGCCAACTGGACATCGAGCTGTTGATCGCTACCCGTTGAGCCCAACCATCTAGCCAGCTTTCTATCCACCTTATAGTCCATTCATCCAATCCATACTTTTTTAACTTGCTGGCAAGAATACTGTGGGAGACTGTATCAAAAGCTTTGCTAAAGTCAAGATATATCACATCCACCGCTTTCAAACTTTTCAAACTTTTCTCTGCAATCACTAGGGCTAGAAAATTACTTTATTTTTTGTTTTCCTTTAAAAATGCTAATACCCTCATGTAATCACTTGACTCAAGAAACTAAGGATTTAAGAAAAACAACAAATATGGCAAGACATGCGATAAAAATCACAAGAGTTGGCAACATATTTTAATCCCTTTTATAGGCTTCTAGTTGTCTTTCTATACATCCTGGCCTTTATTTAGACATGTAAAAACAGTATGATGAAATGTAAACTGTATTAAAATTAATAATTTTAATAATGTTTAGAATTGTATACATGATAAATATATGGATTTTTTTAAAGAAAAATATTGTTGATGAAGCAACAAGAATCAAACATCAGGAGAAAGGGATATCAAAATACAATCTGACTTACAACACTGTTTACCTGCTCCTGTCTGAAATGTTTCCCATCTTTTCCAGCTGACCTCCAAGGTAAAACTAGTGAACTTAAATCAAATTAACTCTACCCGGTACAATGTAAATATGATGAGCCAAATTCAGGCCTAATTCCGGTACACCTCAATTTCATGCCTGTTTATGCCAGTTCTGAATTTGGCTAAAGATATTTCCATTGTGAAATTATGCAGCTCTCCAAATAATTTTTGCATTTTGAGCAGTTATTTCTTTTTTATAATTTCACTCTTGTAATGTATGTATGAACATCAATAAGTTTGGCCTCTCACAACACAAGAAAGTGGGGAGAGGAGAGTGGGTCTTGTTTTGATTAAAATTGCGAAGTAGTATCTCATGAGTGTTGAAGGTAGGATTTGTATAGGAATAAAGTAGGGGAGAGAGGAATACTAGCAAGATCACTGCTCTGATATCACTTTGAATCATCATATGTTAATCTTCCAGACACAATGGTCAGGGTTCTTCCAGCTGAAAATATCTGCATCAGATGTGTATCATTTGCAATGAGATCAGACACAAATACTTTAGATTACTCTTTTCATACCTACTGAAATAACCCTCTTTTTGAAGTAATGTCTTTTGGAATAGAAATTTTTGTGGTGAAAAAGACTAAAGATTCTCCTTTAGATACAGTGGTTAGAGTCTGACTTCAGACTGGAATTGACTTTATTCACTGCATTGCCATCTTGAGGTAAAATCCAGGTTGGTTGTGTGGAAGGAATAGAAAGTTTCAGACTCTGTTCTGGTAACTTGACCATTAAGATGCCAAAATATTTGCTTAGCTGGATTTGTGCAGGATCTTTAAGGCTGGACACTCAGTGGTTGAAAAATGAGGAAGTGGAGTGAAGCCAATTCCTCCAAAATCCAATTCTTTAAAATAAAATTAAAAAAAAAAAAAAAGCAGCAGCTAAACAAATGTAGATGAGTAAACACTGTTCTCCTCCAGATTACCCATCTTCCTTTTACCAAGCTTTATTCTGAACGAAAGTCTCTGCTCTTTGTAAATAAGGTCTGTTTAAAGTAAAGAGGAATAAATGTGATGAGATAAGTGGTTTTCAATTCCAATAAAAGAGACACCCATATTTTCCCAATCCAATGATTTCATTAGAAATTAGGAGTTTTGCCTTTACTCTAATATAGAAAGGAGAGATATTAATGTATTCATACCTTAAAAGGCAGAACCTCTACTGTAGTATTTAGTAGAATATCTCCTGGATGCTCTGGATTGCCACTATGAAACAAGTATCTATAAATGCAAAAATTAAAAATAAATGGTCTGTACACTCAGTCACTGTTAGTTTAATAAGTAACATTAAACGACATTATGGAAATTACCCTGGTAGATGATCCCAGTACAACTATGAAAATCAACTGAAAATTAGTTTCATATATGAATGTACTGAAAAGCTCTGCTTTAATGAAAGATATTGAGTTTTTAAAAAGTGACCAGGCAAAGTTTTTTTCATAGGATTTACGTGGAAAATAGCCATATAGAGCTGGTCTTGACACCACAGGGTTATCCTGTGAGACAAAGGGGACTGGGAGGCAACAGGTTCAGGAAAATTGCATTTATTCTTAGCTCTGCTGCTGACCAGCTGTGTAACCATGGGCAATTCACATGGGCCCATTACATCCCATCTTGCCCATCTGCAAAACTAATACTAAATAACTTCTTTCATAACATACTTTGAGCTCTAGGGATGAAAAATGCTATATAGTAAATGCTAAATGTTATTGTCATCTATATGGAAATTTGCTGGTCATGGGAAAAGCTACTGAATAAGCGCTGACCAAGATCACAAATGCAATAACAAAGCTACATAGTTTATTAGCATAGTTGTATTTACATGTCTGTATTCCTAACTATATGTATTAATAAATATTAGTGTTTTAACATTTATATAGTGTTATGGCTCATCAAAGCTACAACCCCTTGATCACATATTATAAACAAACATACAAAAAAACAAATCCCCAAAATTAATGTAGTGCAATAGCCAGAAGCCACTTTCCCCCACCCTGGTTGTGGAACAGTTTCCCATTTATTATGGGGTTACGGAATTATTTATTACAAGAGAGAAAAACAAGGTATGTTAGGCAACAGCAGTACCTGTATGTATTTTACACACTAATTTTAGAGACCATATTGCGATGTGCATCACAACTTTGAAAAAAGAAAATAGAAAATTTCCCTGTAAACATGCATATTGGATGGAATATATTACATAAAAAAATGTTTATAGCACTTAAACCCTCATGTTTCAGGGCACAAGTAAACCACTAACCACTTGAGAAAAGGAATTCACTTCTCCCATGGGCAGGTTATTCCATAATTGCTTGTTATTAAGTTTCCTGGACCTTCCTCTGAAGGAGTTGGTACTGGACACTGTTAGAGACTGGACACTAACCCAGAAGGACCATTGGCTTAATTCAATATGGCAGTTTCTAGTCCTAAACCTAGTGGCAGACAGCTTTCTGGCCGAGAGGACTTAAAAGAGGAGCCCATGGACGATGGAACTCCCTACCACCAGAGACTTGGATGAGCCTGAGACTTGCTACTTTTAAGAGTCAAGACAGGACTGTCTCTTTGAGCAAGGCTCCCCCTAATAACAGAATGTTCCAGAATACAACAATGAAATGGAGGGAAAAGACAACAATTCCATTTTCAGAAAGTAGAGTAACAAGGTTGGGATGAACTGTGTGACAGAAATTACATTTTTAATTATGCCTATGACATCCGGTAATGGACACATTTCAAACAGACATTTGAAAACACACATTTGCAAGAACTCACTTTGCTAATAAAGAACACTCAATATAAATGGCTGCTAAATGTAGCATTAGTTATATTAGGAGAAAATTGGATGTTTCTCATCATTAATAAATATATTTATCTTCATGGTCAACATTTTTCCTCAGTGTAGGCTGTTTGAACTGTGGTTGCATTTATTAATTATACTTTTTTTTTAAATGATGGATTAATGTGATGATAAAAATAAATGTGTATGACATATATTAAGAGTAACTAATTGGAATTTTAATGCAAAGTTATGGGAGAATTCCAACGTAGGGATTCACAGACCAGGACACACCAACTCAAAGCAGCACCAGACCCTGCCAGAACAACAGATGCAAAACCTGCAGACATATCTCCACTGCTACAATGATCAACAACCCCCACAACATACCTTTCCAGATCTGTGGATCCTACATATGCCTGTCACAACATGTAGTACATCTCATCCAGTGCACTAAATGCCCCAATAACAACTAGTTAAAACCAGACAATCACTACGCCCTCAAATGAACTCACACAGGAAAATATAAAAGACAATTACACCCTATTACCTGTGGGTGAACACTTTTCACAAAGCAATCACTCTATATCAATCTGCATCCTCAAAGAAAACCTGCACAACACATTCAAAAGATGAGCATGGGAGCTTAAATTCATAACACTGTTAGACAATAAAAATCACAGACTGAACAGAGACACTGGATTTATAGCTTATTACAACAATCTGTAACCCAGCTAAACCCCTCTTTTTATCCTGTGACTGGCCACTTCACCTTGAATGATCCCTTACAATATGTGCTAACTACTTATGTATGATCTCTGTCTGGTTCTTTGATTGTTTCTGTCTGTTACATAATTAATTTGCTAGGTATAAATCAATTAAGGTGGTGGGGTATGATTGGTTAAATAATTGTTTTACAATATGTACAATATGTTTTATAATATGTTAGGTTAAAATTGTTTTAGTAATATTTTAATAAAATGATTGGTTAAGGTACAACTAACCAAGACTCAAGTTTCACTATATAAACTTGTCAACTGTCCGAAATGGGCCATCTTGATTATCACTACAAAAGTTTTTTTTCTCCTGCTGATAATAGCTCATCTTAATTAATTAGCCTCGTAGAGTTGGTATGGCAACTTCCACCTTTTCATGTTCTCTGTATATATTGTGACAGGGTCAGGCCAGATGGCTACAAGAGAGTGGTCGAAGGTAGATACATTAGTTCCAGGTTAAGCAGGTCCCTTTTCCCTGGGTAAGATAACAGGGCCTATTCCAGAACACTCAGGAACGTTTTAGAACTAATTAAGGCAGGCAGGCTAATTAGGACACCTGTAGCCAATTGGGAAGCTGTTAGAATTACTTAAGGCTAATCAGGACATCTGGTTTAAAAAGGCTCTCACTGCAGTTAGTGAGATGTGCATAAGGAGCTAGGAGTGAGAGGATATACTGCTGGAGAACTGAGGAGTACAAGCATTAACAGACATCAGGAGGAAGGTCCTGTGGTGAGGAAAAAGAAGGTGTTGGGAGGAGGCCATGGGGAAGTAGCCCAGGGAATTCTAGCTGTTGCACAGCTGTTCCAGAAGGCACTCTAGACAGCTGCAGTCCACAGGGCCCTGGGCTGGAACCTGGGGTAGAGGGTGGGCCTAGGTTCCCCCCAAACCTTCCAACTCCTGATCTAACACAGGAGGTTTCACTAGAGCGGAAGGTCTCTGGGCTGTTCCCTGACCCACATGGTGGATCAGCAGAAACTGCGGGGATTGTTCTTACTCTTTTTTCCCCCATATTGGCCAGTGATTAGGTTATCTGAGTGAACAGCAGATTTGAGCCACGAAAGTGGCCAAACTGAGGGCTACTGTGAATCTCTGAGGCAAGCAAAATCTGCCAATAAGCGCAGGACCCACCAAGGTAGAGAAGGAACTTTATCACTATCTATCTATATATCTATCTTCTTAATGTTCCATTGTATGCATCTGATGAAGTGGGCTGTAGCCCATGAAAGTTTATGCTCAAATTTGTTAGTCTCTAAGGTGCCACAAGTACTCCTGTTTTTTTTGCAGATACAGACTAACACGGCTGCTACCCTGAAACCTGTCACTATATAAACTGAGGTCCAAAAGGAAATTCTTTGGAACCAACTCCAGGACACAGCCCCAAGATTAGAGCTGCCAGACCTCAACAGCCTGCCAATCACAGAGTGCAAAATCTGGAGTTCCCCAGATTACCTGATCCTGACTGGCCAGCAGGAACAGTAAGTCTGCCTTATTGGGAGCGGTGAGCCTTGTATGCTTAGTGTGTGCATTCTGTTTTGGTGATTGTTAATAAATAGAGGTTAAGTAGGATATTACTGTGTAAGGCTTCTTCACTGGTAAAAGACCCCATAAATCCCTAAAAGATTAAGCCCTGAGTCCACAGGGAATGGGTGTTTACCTGGAGCCCACGGAGAAGTACAGCCCGGAGCCCATTGAGGGATAAAGTTAGATGCCTTTCGCCTGGAGATGTAGGAACTGGGAAAGGGTGGGGGTGCCTAAATCAACAGGGTTATGCCTTGAGCTTTAGGAACTAGGTAGAGGTGGAAGCCTTGAGCCCTAGGAACTAGGTAAAAACAGGTGCCCTAGAGTGTGTGTAATAGAGAATTTTGTGTGGGTAACATTTACAGACCTGAAGAATAGCTCCGTGTGACTTGAAAGTTTATCTTTCTCACTAACAAAAGTTGGTCCAATAAAAGATATTACCTCACCTACTTTGTCTCTCTAATATCCTGGGACCGACATGGCTACAACTATACTGCATACATTCCTTTTAACATTGAGTTTTCAACATGCATTGCGTGAATGAGAAACACCAGCATTTTTTACCACTAGGTGGTATATCTATACTTGGGAATTTATTAAGGCCATTCATTTATATTAATAGAACACAGACTAGTTTCCTAAAATTAATGTCTATTTAACTGCGTATAGAAGTGATATCTAAATACACCTAGTTTAACAGGCTTTTGTTATTCTTAATGCATCTAAATAAATATGTAAAATCTATTAGCACTGAAGCGCTCATTTCAACTGAAATGTAAAGTAAGCACCATCCAACACACTACATATGCATCACCACTCAGTTAAAACTAGTTCAAGAATTATCACTTAACTAAAATTATGAAAAATCACTCCATTTACAATTTATTAAAATGTAATCAGACATAAAATTTCCAATTTGTCAGTGTTAAATATGTCTAGAGCTGGATAAGTAGTTGCCATTAATCCACATAATCTTTATCTGCAAGAAATTATTTTTTTTCTGTGATGAATGATCCTTACAGAAAGCATCATTAAAAGGAAGCAGAAGAGGAAAACAGGGCGCTCTAGTCCTGATTTGGGAAAACATCTCTATTCAGATAGCAGCACATGCTTAACTTTAAGCATCTGCTTTCTTGAATAGGGAAATTCTCTGA